GCGTCCTGTGCCGGGAGCGTGGCGGTCTCCTCTCCGCGAGACCCCGCTGTAACGCCCCGGCCGCACCAGCCCGCCCCCGTCCCCCAGGGCGCCCAGCCTCCGTGCCCCGCCCGCGCGCCGGCTGACAGCCTCCCCCCGCGGGGTGACTCGCCGGCTCTGCCCCAGGCCAGCGGCGCTGCTGCGTTGTGCCCTGCGGCCTGGCCGCTGGCACGGAGCAAACAGAAGTAATGGAAGACTGTGGGGACGTCGGGCAAGCAGCAGCGCTGCACACACGGACCTGGGGGTGACAGTGGACAAGAAGCTGAATGTGAGCCAGCAGTGTGCCCTTGCTGCCAAGAAGGCTAATGGCAAACTGGGCTGCTTTGGTAGGAGCGTGGCCAGCAGGTCAAGGAACGTGATTATTCTTCTTTATTTGGTGCTGGTGAGGCCACATGTGGAGATCTGTGTCCAGTTTTGGGCCCCCTACTACAGAAAGGGTGTGGACAAATTGGAGAGAGTCCAGCAGAAGGCACTGAAAATGGTTCGGGGACTGGGGGACATGACTTCTGAGAAGTGGCTGAGGGACGTGGGCACGTTTAGTCTAGAGAAGAGAAGACTGAGAGGGGATTTAATAGCAGCCTTCAACTACTTAATGGGAGGTTCAAAAGAGGATGGAGCGAGACTGATCTCAGTGGTGGCAGATGACGGAACAAGGAGCAATAGTCTTAAGTTGCAACAAAGGAAGCTTAGGTTAGATACTAGGATAAACCTTCTCAAAGGAGGGTAGTAAAGCACTTGAGCAGGTTACCCACAGAGGTGGTGGAATCTCCATTGCTGGAGGGTTTTAAGACCAGGCTAGTTGGGGCTGGTCCTGCTTTGAGCAGGGGGTTGGACTAGATGACCTCCTGAGGTACCTTGAAACACTAATTTTCCATGATCGTACGAATTGCCACTTACTAGGTCAGACCCTAGGTCCATCCTGCCCAGGCTCCTGTTACGAAGGGGAGAGAGTATATGCTGAAAGGGAAAGCAAACTAGGTATGACCAGGTTTTTGGTTTGGGTTGGATTTTTTCCCACTGTTTCTTTCTCACTTGCAGCCTCCAGCATTTAAGGTCTAGGAAGTTTTGATTCAGAGGCTATATCCCTAAGACCCATTCTCAATAGCTACTGATGCCCCTTTCCTCCAAGAATTTGTCCAATCACTTTTTGAATCTGGCTAAACCGTCAGCTTCTGCAGCATCTGGTGGCAACCAAGTCCACGCTTGAGTGAGACACTGTGTGAAAAATAACTTCCTTCTGTCAGTTTTAAATTTCCTACCTCCTAGCTTCATTTTGTGACCCCCCTCCTCCCATAGTTCATATATTGAGAGAGAGTAAATAATAAACTCTCTATTGACTTGTCTCTGCCATTTAGTATTTTGTAAACTCTTATGCTCCCTGTCAAGCATCATTTTTCTAAACTGAATAGGCCTAGCCTCTCTTGCTTCTCCTCACAGGAGAGCCCCTTCATACCACTAATCATCCTTGTTGCCCTTCTGTGGACCTTCTCCAATTAAAAGAAAAAAAGTACGTCTATTTTTTTGCCAGCTGCCAACAATTTCTGTGCCCAAAGGCACAACTACCCTCTTAAAATGTAAAATAAGAATGTACCCCTACTTCATTTTCTTTCACCTCACAATAGCTTCCTTACTCTATAACAACCTTATTAAAAAGTACATTTCGTGTTCATCCTTTCCTCATGGCAAACTTGTCGCCTCAGGCAAGCAACCTTGTTAAATATTGACAGCTCCATACTAGGGCAATGCCCCCTATTTATACTTGGCCTTCACATTCATCCCTCTCCCTCGGTAACTCTATCACCTGATCAACACATCTTAGTAAAAAAATGTTCATACTGCCCCTCAATACACACAGTGCCTTTGTTTCCTCTAAAGCCCATCTATTAAAAATCAACAGAGATTTAGTGGTTTGCTCAACATCATGCAGGAAGCCAGTAGAGGTACTGGGTTAAAAGCCCTAGGCTTCTATTGCTGTTCTCTCTGTTTTAACTGGTAGACTATGTATGTATGCTAAAGAAACAAAGATGCTACATTTTTTCCCATTTTGGAATTAGGATAGTCTTACAGAAATGCTTTCTACCTGCCATATAAATAGTTAATAGATAAACTGCTACTAGATAGAATCTAGAGGATGTAGCATATTCCTATTTGTGTACTGCAGATGGCTTCCTTTGGCTACTTTTTATGTCAGCTTTGAGTATAACCACCCTTTAAGTGACCTGCAAGTGAAAAAAGAGGAATGTTATGCCTCTTCATGATGTTTACAGTAGATCTGAGAGATGCCTTCTCTTAACTCCTAAAAAATGTTGTTTTTTTCACTCTGCTACTTATTTTACATGATAAATTTAGATCTTACTCATCCTGACATTTGCTGACATCAAAGGTGTCAGGGACACTGGTAAAAGCTTACTTCTTTGTTTTTAGTTCTGCTGCTACCTATTTAAGTCAAACAACTAACAAATAGCTGGGACAAAATATTGTATTTACCCAAATCCAAGACAACCCTGAATTGAAGATGATTCCACAATAATTAGATTCTATACATGAAAAAATTATAAATGTATTATAATTTTCTACTTATAGAATCTAATTATTGGAGGGCTGTCTCAAATGTGTGTTGTCCCTCCTACCACTGCAGTGGCAAAAGCAGTGGTGGGACCTGGGGGTAGGTGTAGAGGAGCAGTAGGGCACATGTTAGGGGGGGCAGAAGGAGAGCAGGCAGTGGGGGAGACAGTAGGAGGTAGGCAGTAAGGGACTCAAGTAATCTGCACTCCTGTGCCTGCTCCCTGGCATCTGCACCCTCACCAGTTGTCCCCCATGTCTGCACGGGGGGAAAAGCTCATGACGTTTCTCCAGTGCCTGCCCTCCCCCCAGTCCCCACTTCCTGCCCTCTTCCAACCCCAGTGCCTGCCACCTCTACCCCCACCCAATGTCTCTCACCCCTGCCCTTGCAGCCTCTCCCCCACAAACCTGACCTCCACCTGCCACTTACCCTCTGGCACTGACATGACTCTGGCTCTGCTCTACCCTGGGCCACAGAGCACATGCTTGCCAGTCTAGCCCAGTAGTAGCAGCTCTGGCCCAAGCTCCAGGGCCAGCTGCAGCTGCTATCACCGCAACAGCAGGTTGGAGCTTGAACCACAGTCTTGTCCCTACTGCTTATACTTGGATCCAAGATGAGGGGCTTTCTCCTCCCATGTTAAATGGAAAAAAACCTTATCTTGAATTTGGGTAAATACACCTACACCCCGTCAATAAGCAATGTAGAAAGTTTCTCCCCAAGTTATTTGGTCCTCCATAGAGACTTCTGTTAATAATGAAGTTGATATGCACTACTCCTAATATAGATTTCAGTAAAATGCAATAAACCTTAAAATTAGCAAATGCAACAAAACTTTCAGACCTTTCTTAATTTCATAACAAAGGAAAAGCAGACCCCAATTATTTTCTCTTGCAAACTGTCTGTACCTGAGAGTTTTCTGATATTTACCGTCTTAGAGATAGCAGTATGTGACAATGAATATATATTTTATAAAACATGTTGCAGTCAATTATGCTATATAAATATAATGCTTAGTTATTAAAACTCTTCTTTCAGTATATTATAAGGCTGAAAGTAGTAATTTTTTCAAGTTCAAATTTCCATTGCTTGGTCTCTGTCCAAAAGCAATCCATCAAGACAGTTAAGGATTTTTTTAAACTTTAAACACAAGTAGACCCACTGAAGTTAGCACCTTGCAAGATCAAGCCCCAGCTGATTATCTGGGGCTTCACTGGGTTACAACTATGAATATTGTCATCACTACAAAGTACATGTGGAAATATATTCATATCAAGTCATAATGATTAGAAATGTTTGTTCCTGGAGAATAAGTAATAGTAGGATTAACAAATCAATTCAGGCTATTCACATGCAAATAAAGTTGCCTACTACTTTTCTAAGCAAGGGTTGATTTTTTTTCAATGGCAGAACATCTGAAATTATACTCCAAAGAATCCAATGTCTCCTTCCCTGTTATTGTAAGAGATATGCCCCTCTTTCAAATGTTGAAATTAACAATAGATGTTCAACCCAATATTAGTAGAAGAAAGCAGTGACATCCTAAGCTTCATTATGCATTTTTAATTAAAGTACAGATTAATTACATAATGGTTTACATTTGGTTGGCCTGTTAACATGGAAAGCTCTTGTGTATCATTTTGGATAAAGCTT